AAATCTATACTCATTGGTTAGGCCTCATTTAGATTATGCTGCAAAAGTTTTGGTCACCGGGAAAAACAGAATTGGGTATAAACTCTGGAAAAGTACAAAGGGGGGATGACAAAAATTGATCCCATATTCAGAAACCTTCCCCATAGGATAGACTAAGGGGCCCCGAATTTTGCACTCTTTTAGAAAACGTAAAAATTAGGGGGGGAAAGATTTTAGGGGTAAAAAAATGGAAGACAGGAATAAAAAAGGGGGGTTAAAAATTGGGGGAAAAAATCAAACCTAGACCCGGGCCGCAGCAATGGTTTTTAAAAATTTTGGGAAAAAAAAAGATTCAGGGAAAGGGTATAGGGAAAATAAATGGTTTGGTAATAGATTGTGGAAAGATGGAACAAACCCCGAGGGACAGTTATAGAGGGCCAGAACGTTGGGGTAGCTTTAAAAAAAGGTTGGGGTAAATACATTAGTGGAATTTGGGGGGGTGTGAGTTTGGACCTGATAGCTTGAGCTACCAGGTCGGTTTTCCGTGTTCCTCCCTTAATCAATTTACTACCTGACTATTTTGGGGGCATTGGCTTAAACCGGTAGGAGACTTGGACCTGTCTCGCATGGGCCAGTAGGCCTTCTGCAGTGTTCCTTCGTTCTTATGTTCTTATGTTCTTATGAGTGGATGTGGGTGGGTGTGAGTTGGACCTGATAGCTTGAGCTACCAGGTCGGTTGCCGTGTTCCTCCCTTAAGTCAATGTGACCTGACCTGACTAGGTTGGGTGCATTGGCTTAAGCCGGTAGGAGACTTGGACCTGCCTCGCATGGGCCAGTAGGCCTTCTGCAGTGTTCTTTCGTTCTTATGTTCTTATGTTCAGTGGAGACTCAGACAGGTTCATTGGAGGCTCAGACAGGTTCAGTGAAGGCTCAGACAGGGTTAGTGGAGGCTCAGACAGGGTTAGTGGAGGCTCAGACAGGTTCAGTGGAGGTTCAGACAGGTTCAGTGGAGGTTCAGACAGGTTCAGTGGAGGATCAGACAGGTTCAGTGGAGGCTCAGACAGGTTCGTTGGAGGCTCAGACAGGTTCAGTGGAGGATCAGACAGGTTCAGTGAAGGCTCAGGCAGGGTTAGTGGAGGCTCAGACAGGTTCAGTGGAGGCTCAGACAGGTTCAGTGGAGGTTCAGACAGGTTCAGTGGAGGCTCAGACAGGGTCAGTGGAGGCTCAGACAGGTTCAGTGGAGGTTCAGACAGGTTCAGTGGAGGTTCAGACAGGTTAAGTGGAGGTTCAGACAGGTTCAGTAGAGGCTCAGACAGGGTTAGTGGAGGCTCAGACAGGTTCAGTGGAGGTTCAGGCAGGTTCAGTGGAGACTCAGACAGGTTCAGTGGAAGCTCAGACAGGTTCAGACAGGTTCAGTGGAGGTTCAGACAGGTTCAGTGGAGGTTCGGACAGGTTCAGTGGAGGTTCAGACAGGTTTTCAGTGGAGGCTCAATAGGTTCAGTGGAGGCCTCAGACGGGTTTCATGGAAGCTAAGAAAGGTTCAGTGGGGGTTTTCAGACAGGTTCAGTGGAGGTTCAGACAGGTTCAGTGGAGGCTCAACAGGTTCAGTGGAGGCCAGACGGGTTCAGTGAGGCCAGACAGGTTCAGTGGAGGCTCAGACAGGTTCAGTGGAGGTTCAGACAGGGTCAGTGGAGGTTCAGACAGGTTCAGTGGAGGCTCAGACAGGTTCAGTGGAGGTTCAGACAGGGTCAGTGGAGGTTCAGACAGGTTCAGTGGAGGCTCAGACAGGTTCAGTGGAGGCTCAGAAAGGTTCAGTGGAGGCTCAGACAGGTTCAGTGGAAGTTCAGACAGGTTCAGTGGAGTTTCAGACAGGTTGAGAGGAGGCTCAGACAGGGTTTTTGGAGGTTCAGACAGGTTCAGTGGAGGTTCAGACAGGGTCAGTGGAGGTTCAGACAGGTTCAGTGGGGGTTCAGACGGGTTTCCCAGTGGGGGCTCAGACAGGTCGGGTGGAGGTTCAGACAGGTTCAGTGGGGGCTCAGAAAGGTTCAGGGGGGTTTCAAAACAGGTTCAGTGGAGGCTCAGACAGGGTCAGTGGAGGTTTCAGCCAGGTTCAGGGAGCTCAGACAGGTCAGTGGAGGTTCAGACGGGTTCATTGGAGGTTCAGACAGGTTCAGTGGAGGTTCAAAACAGGTTCAGTGGAGGTTCAGACAGGGCCCAGGGGAGGTTCAAAACAGGTTCAATGGGGGCCAGACGGGTTTCAGTGGAGGTTCAGACAGGTTCAGTGGAGGTTCAGACAGGGTCAGGGAGGTTCAACAGGTTCAGTGGAGGTTCAACAGGTCCAGTGGAGGCTCAGACAGGTTCAGTGGAGGTTCAGACAGGGTCAGTGGAGGCTCAGACAGGGTCAGTGGAGGTTCAGACAGGGTCAGTGGAGGTTCAGACAGGTCCAGTGGAGGCTCAGACAGATTCAGTGGAGGTTCAGACAGGGTCAGTGGAGGTTCAGACAGGGTCAGTGGAGGTTCAGACAGGTTCAATGGAGGCTCAGACAGGTTCAGTGGAGGTTCAGACAGGTTCAGTGGAGGTTCAGACAGGGTCAGTGGAGGTTCAGACAGGTTCAATGGAGGCTCAGACAGGTTCAGTGGAGGCTCAGACAGGTTCAGTGGGGGTTTCAGACAGGGTCATTGGAGGTTCAACAGGTTCAATGGAGGCTCAACAGGTTCAGTGGAGGTTCAGACAGGTTCAGTGGAGTTCAGACAGGTCAGTGGAGGCTCAGACAGGGTCAGTGGAGGTTCAGACAGGTCCAGTGGAGGCTCAGACAGGTTCAGTGGAGGTTCAGACAGGTTCAGTGGAGGTTCAGACAGGGTCAGTGGAGGCTCAGACAGGTTCAGTGGAGGTTCAGACAGGTTCAGTGGAGGTTCAGACAGGTTCAGTGGAGGTTCAGACAGGTTCAGTGGAGGCTCAAACAGGGTCAGTGGAGGCTCAGACAGCCGCCTGAGGGATTAGTTTGTTGTGTACCCGCAGCTCATCCTGTGAGCTAAGGTTAGGTTAGGTAAGGTTTGTCATGAAACAGGACAAGTGTTTCATATGATGACCCACAGCTGGGGGTTTTGGTCATCTGACTGAGGCCTTCCACTGGCTTCTCGGGCCATCTGGCGCCATCAGTATGCTAAGAAACAACACAATAAGTGTCAGGGACCCAAAACTGTTCAACTGCCTCCCAGCATACATTAGCGGGGTTACCAATAGACCCCTGACTGTATTTAAGAAGGCGCTGGACAGGCACCTAAAGTCAGTACCTGATCAGCCGGGCTGTGGTTCTTACGTCGGTTTTGCGTCAGGCCAGCAGTAACAGCCTGGCTGATCAGACCCGATACTCCACGAGGCCTGGTCACAGACCGGGCCGCAGGGAAATTGACCCCAGAAATTCTCTCCAAGTATATTCCAGGTATTATAACCCTTTCAATATGATCATCCTGTAACACGTAGCGCAAAAAAAAAAAAAATACAGAGGTGACAATGGGTGTTTACGACGCCATTGTTAAGGTACTACAGAAAAATATTAGTCATTTCGTTGATACATATATCCACAGGACTGGTGCGACATTTATACTGCAACTCCAGTCAAAAGTTCATATTAATGGTTTGCAAAACAGACAAATAGATGAAAAAAATCTGCGCAGTCACAAAAAAGTACCCAAGTACCGAACATGTGTCTTGTTCATCAAATTACCACACGTGTTAAGCAGACTGTATTTGTTTCTAGGTGTTTGAGAGTATTAGGGATGTAGCCATGAACTTTATGATAAGGAAAGTGGAGTAAATATGTGACTGTATCTTGCTTACAGTATCCACTAGTGTTTATTAACAGCCTTTCATAGACTACACGATAATTATAACAAATAATAATAATAATAATAATAATAATAATAATAATAATAATAAATCTTTATTTCTAAAAGTACATGTTATACAGTCCTAGCTGACATCAATGACATACTACTATTACCTGGAGTTTACCTGGAGAGAGTTCCGGGGGTCAACGCCCCCGCGGCCCGGTCTGTGACCAGGCCTCCTGGTGGATCAGAGCCTGATCAACCATGCTGTTACTGCTGGCTGCACGCAATCCAACGTACGAGCCACAGCCCGGCTGGTCAAGTACCGACTTTAGGTGCTTGTCCAGTGCCAGCTTGAAGACTGCCAGGGGTCTATTTGTAATGCTCCTTATGTATGCTGGGAAGCAGCTGAACAGTCTCGGGCCCTTGACACTTATTATTTTGTCTCTTAACGTGTTAGTGACAACCCTGCTTTTCATTGGGGGGATGTTGCATCGTCTGCCGAGTCTTTTGCTTTCGTTGTGAGTGATTTTCGTGTGCAAGTTCGGCACTAGTCCCTCTAGGATTTTCCAGGTGTATATAATTATGTATCTCTCCCGCCTGCGTTCCAGGGAGTACAAGTTCAGGAACTTCTATCGTAGGGGTTCTTAAATTGAGATATCGAGGGTTGAAGGTAGACACACTTGTTGGATGGTAACATATATTATCAGACTGTGATGATGAGAAATGGAGCCCAGCCTCTGCCTGTCCTAGCCTGTGTCAAAACACAAAGTCACAGGCCTAAAAGGGATCTCCTATCTAAAGCACATGGATGATACTATATGCTATGCTATATAACACAGGGATCAGCAACTATGCTGACACTTCAAGAGCTCCCAGTAATTGAGGTGTTTTATCGCAGTTATGCGCGCCGTGAAGGTTCTCTGTTGTGCAAGACTGGTATACAATACCGACAAGATGAAAGTTAAGACACTTGTACCTGAAGCTAATTATTATTATTATCAAGGAGGAAGCGCTAAACCCGGAGGATTATACAGCGCCTGGGGGGGGGGGAAGGTGGAAGGCATTCAGGCTTAATTCGGGGAACTGGAGCACAGATCCAATTCCCTAAATCAAGAGCCCCTCACCAACATCAAGGAACCTTCCTTGAGGGGACCTGAAGCTAAACAAACTTAAACTTTGTGGTGGTATAACACACCTCGGGGCCGTCACAGCCCTCTGCTCCAACAACAACAATGACGGGAACCGAGACAGAAAATTCACTTGATGCAGCTTCAGAAGAAGTTCTTGCTGACGGAAATGAGGAAAGAGAATCTGAGCTGAGGTTACCTCTAGCGAGGATCAAAAGGATAATGAAAGCTGATCCGGACTTGAATTTGGCCAGCCAGGACGCTGTCTTCCTCGTGGCCAAGGCTACGGTGGGTTCCTCCCAAATAATTTTAGCTTCAGTATAGTGTTTTGGTATGCTCTTTTAGCGCTTTTTTTGTTATAATAATAATTTGGTGTGCTCTGGAGGGGTGGAGAATGAGGTTTCATGATGAAAGTGAAGGGTTCTTGATCCAAGGAGCTGGATTTATCTTCTTTGCATTGAACCTGTTACCTCCTATTCCCCAGATGCTCTCTGACCCGTACAGGTTTAGTGAGATAAGATTTTGGATGGATTTTTTTTACCCAAGGGTTATCCACCCAGGATAACCCAATAAATCAGTCATCGGGGATAGTCTCTTATTTCTATTGGGGTCATTTAATCTTGTCCCCCAGGATGCAACCCACACCTGTCGATTAACACCCAGGTACCTATTTATTGCTAGGTGAACAGGAGCAGCAGGTGTAAAGAAGATGCCCACCATTTTACCTGTGCTGGGGATCAATCCTCAGTCCCTCAGTGTGAGAGTTGTGGATGCTGTCAACCAAGAATGATAAGCACCAACCTAATTAAAATACATATATTACCTTCAGCGGTTTAATGCTTCTCCCCTTGAATGTAATAATTTTGGGAATGAAAAGCTATATCCTGTGCTTATATCTTGTAAACGATTCTTGCAGATTTAGTACTTCCTCATGAACGTTGCAGTAATAACCTGCTGTACTATATAAGACCAAGTGTTAGGGAATACCTGTTTACCTGGAGTTTACCTGGAGAGAGTTCCGGGGGTCAACGCCCCCGTGGCCCGGTCTGAGACCAGGCCTCCTGGTGGATCAGAGCCTGATCAACCAGGCTGTTGTTGCTGGCTGCACGCAAACCAACATACGAGCTACAGCCCGGCTGATCCGGAACTGACTTTAGGTGCTTGTCCAGTGCCAGCTTGAAGACTGCCAGGGGTCTGTTGGTAATCCCCCTTATGTGTGCTGGGAGGCAGTTGAACAGTCTCGGGCCCCTGACACTTACTGTATGGTCTCTTAACGTGCTAGTGACACCCCTGCTTTTCATTGGGGGGATGGTGCATCGTCTGCCAAGTCTTTTGCTTTCGTAGTGAGTGATTTTCGTGTGCAAGTTCGGTACTAGTCCCTCTAGGATTTTCCAGGTGTATATAATCATGTATCTCTCCCTCCTGCGTTCCAGGGAATACAGGTTTAGGAACCTCAAGCGCTCCCAATAATTGAGGTGTTTTATCTCCGTTATGCGTGCCGTGAAAGTTCTCTGTACATTTTCTAGGTCGGCAATTTCACCTGCCTTGAAAGGTGCTGTTAGTGTGCAGCAATATTCCAGCCTAGATAGAACAAGTGACCTGAAGAGTGTCATCATGGGCTTGGCCTCCCTAGTTTTGAAGGTTCTCATTATCCATCCTGTCATTTTTCTAGCAGATGCGATTGATACAATGTTATGGTCCTTGAAGGTGAGATCCTGCGACATGATCACTCCCAGGTCTTTGACGTTGGTGTTTCGCTCTATTTTGTGGCCAGAATTTGTTTTGTACTCTGATGAAGATTTAATTTCCTCATGTTTACCATATCTAAGTAATTGAAATTTCTCATCGTTGAACTTCATATTGTTTTCTGCAGCCCACTGAAAGATTTGGTTGATGTCTGCCTGGAGCTTTGCAGTGTCTGCAATGGAAGACACTGTCATGCAGATTCGGGTGTCATCTGCAAAGGAAGACACGGTGCTGTGACTGACATCCTTGTCTATGTCGGATATAAGGATGAGGAACAAGATGGGAGCGAGTACTGTGCCTTGTGGAACAGAGCTTTTCACCGTAGCTGCCTCGGACTTTACTCTGTTGACGACTACTCTCTGTGTTCTGTTAGTGAGGAAATTATAGATCCATCGACCGACTTTTCCTGTTATTCCTTTAGCACGCATTTTGTGCGCTATTACGCCATGGTCACACTTGTCGAAGGCTTTTGCAAAGTCTGTATATATTACATCTGCATTCTTTTTGTCTTCTAGTGCATTTAGGACCTTGTCGTAGTGGTCCAATAGTTGAGACAGACAGGAGCGACCTGTTCTAAACCCATGTTGCCCTGGGTTGTGTAACTGATGGGTTTCTAGATGCGTGGTGATCTTGCTTCTTAGGACCCTTTCAAAGATTTTTATGATATGGGATGTTAGTGCTATTGGTCTGTAGTTCTTTGCTGTTGCTTTACTGCCCCCTTTGTGGAGTGGGGCTATGTCTGTTGTTTTTAGTAACTGTGGGACGACCCCCGTGTCCATGCTCCCTCTCCATAGGATGGAAAAGGCTCGTGATAGGGGCTTCTTGCAGTTCTTGATGAACACAGAGTTCCATGAGTCTGGCCCTGGGGCAGAGTGCATGGGCATGTCATTTATCGCCTGTTCGAAGTCATTTGGCGTCAGGATAACATCGGATAGGCTTGTGTTAATCAAATTTTGTGGCTCTCTCATAAAAAATTCATTTTGATCTTCGACTCTCAGTCTGGTTAGCGGCTTGCTAAAAACTGAGTCAATTGGGACTTGAGTAGCTCACTCATTTCCTTGCTGTCATCTGTGTAGGACCCATCTTGTTTAAGTAGGGGCCCAATACTGGACGTTGTTCTCGATTTTGATTTGGCATAGGAGAAGAAATACTTTGGGTTTCTTTCGATTTCATTTATGGCTTTTAGTTCTTCCCGCGATTCCTGACTCCTAAAGGATTCTTTTAGCTTAAGTTCGATGCTTGCTATTTCTCTGACCAGTGTCTCCCTACGCATTTCAGATATATTGACCTCTTTTAGCCGCTCTGTTATTCTTTTCCGTCGCCTGTAAAAGGGAGCGCCTGTCTCTTTCTGTTTTACATCTACTCTCCTCCTTTTTCTAGAGGAATAAGCCTTGTGCATACATCGAGTGCCACCGAGTTAATCTGTTCTAGGCATAAGTTTGGGGTCTGTGTTGCTTAGTATATCTTCCCAGCTTATATCGGTTAGGACTTGGTTTACTTGGTCCCACTTTATGTTTTGTTATTGAAGTTGAATTTGGTGAATGCTCACCTCGTGACTAATCTCATTATGTCGGTCTGGGGCTCCGCGCATACATGACTGAACCTCAATTATGTTGTGATCTGAGTATATTGTTTTTGATATGGTGATATTTCTTATCAGATCATCATTGTTGGTGAAGATGAGGTCTAGTGTATTCTCCAGTCTAGTAGGCTCTATTATTTGCTGGTTTAAATTGAATTTTGTGCAGAGATTTAAAAGCTCGCGTGAGTGTGAGTTTTCATCAGAGCTGCCTCCTGGTGTTATTACTGCAACAATATTATTTGCTATATTCCTCCATTTTAGGTGCCTTAAGTTGAAATAGGTGAAAGAGGCAGCAAGATATTCTTATCATAATGAATTCACTCATGGAAGCTTCAAGCTATACAGAAAATGTGTAAAATATTTACATAGTTACTCTAGTCAAATAAATAGTGAGGTTATGTGACTTGGGCTGCTACATGGGTGAGGTCACATACTGGCAGGTGATGTTGGACAGTTTAGGTGAGCCACAATAGGTTTTCAGCATGTGAGCACTTGATTTTTTCTGGTATCATAGATGTGACAGTAGTCTCTCCTGACATTATTTTCCTCAACTAGTATGAGTTTGACTCTGTTCCAGGTCATAAGTTGTATGTTCTGCTCTCTATGTATAATACAAGAATTGTTGGTGACTGTTCCACACATTTATGTACAACAACTGGATATGCTGAATGTTGAAGACAGAGTAAAACAACTGAAGTTAAATCACGTTCATAAAATTGCTCACAGTGTCCAGAATATCTTGCTGCCAAGTTTATCAAGGCTGGGAATCAAAGCAATCATAGTTCTAGGGAAAAGGGAGCACAACACTGTAGTACTCAGTCAGTGGCCAGGTTTTAAACACATTTTATTGTACAGCAATAAAGGAGTGGAACAAGCTGTCTGCACATGTCAAAGCCTGTCATAGCATGAACCAGTTCAAGAAGAGAGCCAAAAGGTACTTAATGAATGTAGCGACAGAAAGGGAGGCAAGTGATTTCTGGTATAACTAACATATATGTATCTGTTACTGTGATCTAGCCTCTCTTTAATGTAAATGTAAATAACTCAGTTTACCTTATTCCTAGTATATCTCCTTTTATGGTTTAAATAATAAGGTATTACAAGGACCCCAAAGGAAATAAGCCACTTTGTCTGACTTTCTTGGGTTATCCAAGGTAATGTACACATTTGCTGTTTTTTTTTTTTTTTTTTTTTTCAACAAGTCGGCCGTCTCCCACCGAGGCAGGGTGACCCAAAAAAAAGAAAGAAAATCCCCAAAAAGAAAATACTTTCATCATCATTCAACACTTTCACCACACTCGCACATTATCACTGTTTTTGCAGAGGTGCTAAGAATACAACAGTCTAGAAGCATACACATATAAAGATACACAACATATCCCTCCAAACTGCCAATATCCCAAACCCCTCCTTTAAAGTGCAGGCATTGTACTTCCCATTTCCAGGACTCAAGTCCGACTGTATGAAAATAACCAGTTTCCCTGAATCCCTTCACTAAATATTACCCTGCTCACACTCCAACAGATCGTCAGGTCCCAAGTACCATTCGTCTCCATTCACACCTATCTAACACGCTCACGCACGCTTGCTGGAAGTCCAAGCCCCTTACCCACAAAACCTCCTTTACCCCCTCTCTCCAACCCTTTCGAGGACGACCCCTACCCCGCCTTCCTTCCCCTATAGATTTATATGCTTTCCATGTCATTCTACTTTGATCCATTCTCTCTAAATGACCAAACCACCTCAACAACCCCTCTTCTGCCCTCTGACTAATACTTTTATTAACTCCACACCTTCTCCTAATTTCCACACTCCGAATTTTCTGCATAATATTTACACCACACATTGCCCTTAAACAGGACATCTCCACTGCCTCCAACCGTCTCCTCGCTGCTGCATTTACCACCCAAGCTTCACACCCATATAAGAGTGTTGGTACTACTATACTTTCATACATTCCCTTCTTTGCCTCCATAGATAACGTTTTTTGACTCCACATATACCTCAATGCACCACTCACCTTTTTTCCCTCATCAATTCTATGATTAACCTCATCCTTCATAAATCCATCCGCCGACACGTCAACTCCCAAGTATCTGAAAACATTCACTTCTTCCATACTCCTCCTCCCCAATTTGATATCCAATTTTTCTTTATCTAAATCATTTGACACCCTCATCACCTTACTCTTTTCTATGTTCACTTTCAACTTTCTACCTTTACACACATTCCCAAACTCATCCACTAACCTTCGCAATTTTTCTTTAGAATCTCCCATAAGCACAGTATCATCAGCAAAAAGTAACTGCTGTTATGTATGAAAATTTATGTAACTGTATTTGTGTGTACCTGTACCTGAATAAACTTAATCACTTGCTAGGCATCATGTCTTTAAGATTATGGGCTGTCTCCCCTATGCAGAATTTACAGCAACCGGCAGAAGGAACACAACTAATTCTACAACATTCTTCGTACCAGTTGCAGTAAATTCTAGATGTGCAAGACATCCCCTAATCTCAAGACTCACCCAAGTCTGTTCACCTGTTAGGGAGTGCTTGCACACCTTTATAGTATTGAATTTTAATTGATAAATATGATTACATTTTTCATATTTAATATATTTATACAAGAAAATTTCTAATTAAAATATCTTATTTCAGGAACTTTTTATTGAGAGTCTAGTGCAAGAGGCTTACCAGTACACCTGTCAGTCTCGGAAAAAAACAGTGTCCAGAAGAGATGTAGATAACAGTATTGAAGCCATCGAGGCCTTGGCGTTTTTGGATGGTGCAATGGATTAAAGATATCTTGTGATAATATTTGTAATGCTAAAGGTTATTAAAGCACCTCTCATTATTTCATTTTATTTTATATTGAAATTGAAAGGCAAAGGCATGAAACATTGGTTTTATTAAGTTGTACAATAGTGCTGCCAACTGCTAACTATTGTCAGCCTGAAAATGAATATTTATTCCTGTTTCTGTACTCATATTACATTGTTATTGGTACACTGTTAAAAGTTCTAAATAAAGGTATAATATGTTAATAGCAGTCTGTGTAACAGCAGTAAAACTGCCTGGTAATTGTCAAATAGGTGCATACTTCATTTACATTGAAATCAAATATTATTCATGAGATTTTTGAATTGTATGTATAAGTTAATTTCTCCAGTTTTTTTTTTTTTATATATTTCATGATTCTGAATTACAGTATATTAAATCTTTGCACATTAGAGGCCTGTTTAACTGATTTTGCACTACTGACAGTACTGTGGCTGGAACAGTAGCTAATGAAGAATGCCAAAAAAATGTTAGACAGAATTGAGTCTCAATATAAGATGAGGTTTACATTAAAAAATCACTGCAAGGAATCTTCATAAATAATTACACTTCAGACCAAGGAGAAATTAGCAACAAGAAGAGCAGATTTTTTTTATTTAGAACTAAGTGGAACAGCTGTGACATGTGTCATCTGGAATTCTTGCTACTTATGATGAAATTGTAGGTTATTATAGGTGAGCAATATTCAGGGAGTCTGTCACTAGTAGGACTAGTGACAGACTCCATGAAAGTTCTCAAATTATATCATTTATGCATTTCATAAAATTAATACACAAATAACCCACATATAGGAGAGGAGCTCATGATGACATTTTGGTCGGGCTTGGACTATTTACAGTGTGACTTTGTAAATGGTTCATGCTGGACCAAAACCTCATCGTAAGCTCTTCTTTCCTACGTGCGGGTTATCTGTGTATTGTTCCAGTCACAGTAAAGTGCCTTTTTGTTCTTCATAAAATTAAGTATTGCACATTAAACATTTAATAAGAGTTACACTTTTTTAACTGAATTATAATACTATTGAAACAGTGCACTGAATTTTAATATTAAAGATAAGATATAAAAACTGTATACAGTATTTAAAAAATAATTTTTATTGTAAAAGTTTTTGTCATACACATGTATTTCATTGTATATTGAACATGTGTGTATGTGAACTCCTGCATAGTAAAGTGGGGATTTGCCAGTGTATCCTACTGTTTTCAGTAGAAAATTATTGTATATGAACAATGCCTACTGTATATGGAAATAATTCATTTAAGAATATTTGCATTTATGAAAGTCAAACTGTTATTGTGAACAGTCATAAAATGTTTGCTTTAAACTGTAATACATATAAACACTTATGCTACATATGCTGTAGAGTTTTGCATGTAATTAGTAATGTGTTTTTAACAAAGTATTTTCTACTTTTTGTTATTTTATTATCTTTCAGTGTATTATATTTAGGATATGTAATGTAGGAGTGAGGAAGAGCCAGTTGTGAGTGTGGGGGAAGTTTGTGAGGCAGTAGGTAAAATGAAAGGGGGTAAGGCAGCCGGGATTGATGGGATAAAGATAGAAATGTTAAAAGCAGGTGGGGATATAGTTTTGGAGTGGTTGGTGCAATTATTTAATAAATGTATGGAAGAGGGTAAGGTACCTAGGGATTGGCAGAGAGCATGCATAGTTCCTTTGTATATAAGGCAAAGGGGATAAAAGAGAGTGCAAAAATTATAGGGGGATAAGTCTGTTGAGTGTGACCTGGTAAAGTGTATGGTAGAGTTATAATTGAAAGAATTAAGAGTAAGACGGAGAATAGGATAGCAGATGAACAAGGAGGCTTTAGGAAAGGTAGGGGGTGTGTGGACCAGGTGTTTACAGTGAAACATATAAGTGAACAGTATTTAGATAAGGCTAAAGAGGTCTTTGTGGCATTTATGGATTTGGAAAAGGCGTATGACAGGGTGGATAGGGGGGCAATGTGGCAGATGTTGCAAGTGTATGGTGTAGGAGGTAGGTTACTGAAAGCAGTGAAGAGTTTTTACGAGGATAGTGAGGCTCAAGTTAGAGTATGTAGGAAAGAGGGAAATTTTTTCCCAGTAAAAGTAGGCCTTAGGCAAGGATGTGTGATGTCACCGTGGTTGTTTAATATATTTATAGATGGGGTTGTAAGAGAAGTAAATGCGAGGGTCTTGGCAAAAGGCGTGGAGTTAAAAGATAAAGAATCACACACAAAGTGGGAGTTGTCACAGCTGCTCTTTGCTGATGACACTGTGCTCTTGGGAGATTCTGAAGAGAAGTTGCAGAGATTGGTGGATGAATTTGGTAGGGTGTGCAAAAGAAGAAAATTAAAGGTGAATACAGGAAAGAGTAAGGTTATGAGGATAACAAAAAGATTAGGTGATGAAAGATTGAATATCAGATTGGAGGGAGAGAGTATGGAGGAGGTGAACGTATTCAGATATTTGGGAGTGGACGTGTCAGCGGATGGGTCTATGAAAGATGAGGTGAATCATAGAATTGATGAGGGAAAAAGAGTGAGTGGTGCACTTAGGAGTCTGTGGAGACAAAGAACTTTGTCCTTGGAGGCAAAGAGGGGAATGTATGAGAGTATAGTTTTACCAACGCTCTTATATGGGTGTGAAGCGTGGGTGATGAATGTTGCAGCGAGGAGAAGGCTGGAGGCAGTGGAGATGTCATGTCTGAGGGCAATGTGTGGTGTGAATGTAATGCAGAGAATTCGTAGTTTGGAAGTTAGGAGGAGGTGCGGGATTACCAAAACTGTTGTCCAGAGGGCTGAGGAAGGGTTGTTGAGGTGGTTCGGACATGTAGAGAGAATGGAGCGAAACAGAATGACTTCAAGAGTGTATCAGTCTGTAGTGGAAGGAAGGCGGGGTAGGGGTCGGCCTAGGAAAGGTTGGAGGGAGGGGGTAAAGGAGGTTTTGTGTGCGAGGGGCTTGGACTTCCAGGAGGCATGCATGAGCGTGTTTGATAGGAGTGAATGGAGACAAGTGGTTTTTAATACTTGACGTGCTGTTGGAGTGTGAGCAAAGTAACATTTATGAAGGGATTCAGGGAAACCGGCAGGCCGGACTTGAGTCCTGGAGATGGGAAGTACAGTGCCTGCACTCTGAAGGAGGGGTGTTAATGTTGCAGTTTAAAAACTGTAGTGTAAAGCACCCTTCTGGCAAGACAGTGATGGAGTGAATGATGGTGAAAGTTTTTCTTTTTCGGGCCACCCTGCCTTGGTGGGAATCGGCCAGTGTGATAATAAATAATAAATAATGTAATTACAAGTATAATTGGATTTCAGATTATATTACTGTACATGAGGTGAATCATAGAATTGATGAGGGGAAAAGGGGAGGGGTGCACTTAGGAGCCTGTGGAGACAAAGAACTTTGTCCTTGGAGGCAAAGAGGGGAATGTATGAGAGTATAGTTTTACCAACGCTCTTATATGGGTGCGAAGCATGGGTGATGAATGTTGCAGCGAGGAGAAGGCTGGAGGCAGTGGAGATGTCATGTCTGAGGGCAATGTGTGGTGTGAATATAATGCAGAGAATTCGTAGTTTGGAAGTTAGGAGGAGGTGCGGGATTACCAAAACTGTTGTCCAGAGGGCTGAGGAAGGGTTGTTGAGGTGGTTCGGACATGTAGAGAGAATGGAGCGAAACAGAATGACTTCAAGAGTGTATCAGTCTGTAGTGGAAGGAAGGCGGGGTAGGGGTCAGCCTAGGAAAGGTTGGAGGGAGGGGGTAAAGGAGGTTTTGTGTGCGAGGGGCTTGGACTTCCAGCAGGCATGCGTGAGCATGTTTGATAGGAGTGAATGGAGACAAATGGTTTTTAATACTTGACGTGCTGTTGGAGTGTGAGCAAAGTAACATTTATGAAGGGGTTCAGGGAAACCGGCAGGCCAGACTTGAGTCCTGGAGATGGGAAGTACAGTGCCTGCACTCTGAAGGAGGGGTGTTAATGTTGCAGTTTAAAAACTGTAGTGTAAAGCACCCTTCTGGCAAGACAGTGATGGAGTTAATGATGGTGAAAGTTTTTCTTTTTCGGGCCACCCTGCCTTGGTGGGAATCGGCCAGTGTGATAATAAAAAAAAAAAATTACTGCACAGTACCTTTAAATAGTTTTTGAGAGCATCTTGCAGCTCCTTAGTGATGAGGCTCATAATATGGTTTCTGAAATAAAGATGGATTACAACTGACATTGATCACAGCAGTGAATAAAATGAAGGTGCTGCATCTCACTAACAATTCTACATGGAAGAGACATTAGACTCCACTGAGAATACTCTTCAAGTAAGGACAAAAAACATCCCTAGACAGGTATAACTTTATAGATAGCATGTAGCATGGAGAGGAAAGCAGAGGAAAACCCTTAGTTTCCATAGATTATACTGGATAAGACCAAGGCCAATTGAAAGTAGAAAAGGGTTTATTAGATTTCCAAGTGAGATAAAATCAGGAAATTCATTCAAGGCACTGAGCATTGAGAGAGGCTGTGTAATGTTTCTTTGACAAATGGAAATAAGAGGTTTAAGAATTTCAGTTTGAGAAATCTTCATTCTCCACATTTTCTCTTCCCTCCCTTTCACAAAGGCTTATTTTTTTTTTTACTTTGGATTTGTGTTCTCTTTCAACCATTTCCCATTGTACTTTGATTCTGTGAACTCACTGAGCTGGAGTATGTGGCTTATTTTTTTTTTTTTTCATTTTTTTTGCAAGGGCGATTACCATGGTCTGTCAGTATTTTCGCTAAAGAGTTGTGTGTCCTCCTTGTTATCATTCATCTTGCCATCATGCTCACTCATTTTGTCTAATTCTTTGTGCATTTCAAGTGATCCAGTCTTACAATTCTTTCCATTGGCCTGTACTTCTGTGTGTATTGATGGTTTTGTTTCATCTTTATTATACACAAAAAAAGTCAATTTGCTGTGTCCCTAATCATTCCAATGTTTCAGTTAATAGTGAACTTAATGATGCCTATGTAAGTTGAAGATTTCTGACAGTTACCTTTCTCCAACCATTTCCCCAGTCTTAACTGCACAGTACTTGGTAGATTGTTGGCAGTACCATTGATTTGCATAAATGACCAACAGCTGTTTTTAGGAACTAACACTTAATCTTCTGGCTATTCTCATACCCTCATTGGTGTTTATAAGAGACTTCTCACAACTATTGGCTATACTAGATTTGCAGGTGGTGAGTACCCTCATCCATTATGTTTGATTTGCTGGATTGCTTTCCTTGTCCAGCCTGCTTTGATCAACTGGAGTAGGCAAGTACATACCATCACCAGCTCCAGATAATTATTGCATCAGGTAACCTACATTTTATGTACAAGTTTAATGATAAGCTATAAAATGCAGGCTCTCTACCATTAATTACTATTACCACTGAAACTGTCATTATAGAATTTTTTTAATGCTGGAGAGTTTACCTTCAACAAAACCAATTTTAACCAACTGAACCATATCCACCTAGATGGAAGACTTGATTGTGATACTGCATGCCCTCATGGACAGTACTGTTAGCAGTTACTGGTAGCAAAACTAATCACTGATGAATATGTGTTTAAAGTATGTGAAATCAATGATGTCAGGCCTCTAATGCTTTCAAAAATTTATGAATATCACTGAAATCTTGTAATATAATAAACTGACTAAAACAACTAACCCTAAAGCGGTAAGAGACAGGTGATCTGATCAGTCATACTGAGGACAGCCATGCAAAATGGCAGAATCTTATTAAACAAAAGCAGTATATCCTTTCAAGAAGAAGGAGGGTTTTTGTATTCACAGTGCTGGAGAGATCCTGATCAAAGACATAGAAGCTATCCTTCCCTTCCATGGAGCAAACCTGATTACCTCCTTTTCCTCAGGAACTGTATGAGCTTTCCAGTTTAATGTTTCACCATTATCTTGTACAGTACAGTGCCAGACTCACATCAAATGCTAGGTTTATCATTTCGGCTCCCCTCAAGGAAGGTTCCTTGATGTTGGTGAGGGGCTCTTGATTTAGGAAATTGGATCTGTGCTCCAGTTCCCCGAATTAAGCCTGAATGCCTTCCACATCCCCCCCCAGGCGCTGTATAATCCTCCGGGTTTAGCGCTTCCCTTTGATTATAATAATAATATCATTTCGGCTGAGAAAACTTAATAAACTGTACTAAATTGGTGTCTTACCCTCCTGATGAGGATATGTAGGATGAAAGACTGGCCTCGGCTACACTGTAACTACTGTACTGTACATATATACAGCTATACAACTACAGTGGAACCTCAAATTTGGAACTTTCTTCAGTCCAGAAGGCTGTTCGAGTGCCTTTACCGAATGAATTTATTCCCATCAGGAATAATGTAAATTAGATTAGTCCATTTCAGACCCTCAAAAATACACTTATAAAAGCACTTACAAAAATACA